TCAACTACCTTTGCGATATATGTCATGCGATAATTAGCATACGAAAACTTCACATTAAAGGCACATTTGCAAATGTCAGCCGTTAGGTGCGGTACCTTGTATTTCCTTTACATAATTACTGTCAATATTTGAACTTGTGGAAGAGGCTTACATTCGAGCAGTTTATCGGTTTTACAATATACCCCCCTCTAACCTTCAGATTGGTCCTTGCAATGTAAATTGCGTTTTGTGCCAAGCAATTTAAAGGTTGAAAATTGTCTTGCGTGTCCGCATCTACAATTGTCTTGATCTGGTCAGAGTGTAGCACACATCAGTGTCAATAAGCAGTTTTGATCTACCAAGGACATAGATATAGCGGCAACTGGCGAGACTGTTTCCCAAGCTTTACTCGAAATTGTCGATACAGAACTTCGCATAAAGTGCGTGATCTGAATCCTCAACCTAAAAAGTCTCGTGCTGTACGCAATAAGAAGCCTTGTCCTTCACGCTTACTGGATGAAATGTGGCTTACGTATTATGTCGACCAAATAAGACCCACAATTCAGGCGCTATGAAGTTCCTCAAGCTTTATCTTGTATTTTGTAGTATTTGACCGGCAGAGTGACCATGAAGACGCCAGACGAGACGGCGCAATAACAGTCCCCGTGGAAAAATGCGCAATAGATTTTTAAAGTGGTCGGTATTTTGTCAGTTCATCAAACCATCTTAACGATGGCCATTTAAGGAGAAAGATCACGCACTTATTTGTCAGATGCCGTTAACAACTCGTTGATACCAATAGCACCAGCGTCCCCCGAACACAGATGAGCTCATATCTACCAGACTCCTTTTTCACACACTAAGGATACTACATGGACATTTTTTGTCATTCCACATTAAGTGTATATGAGCCGACTGTGAATTCGGCAGGCCGTATCGCGTGGATTTTTATATGAACTGGCAGATGGTCCTAATCGAAAGACGTTTCAGCTTGCAGTGAGAATAATTTTTCTATGTGAACACCCGGTTTTAGAAGAAGAGATTTATTCGAGCCACGCTGATAAAGGCACCACCCCCGGTCCAATAAACACCTCTTACATGCAGACAAACTTCCCGAAAATGTGCTTGAGAAATAAAAGAAGGGTTGTAACTACACCGGATTATATTTTAATAGCATCTAACGTTACAGAAAGCAAATCTAGCACTATATGAAGCACATCTAACACTACATTGCACCCGGAAGGGTGGTTTTCTTGGTCGGCCTCTAGGGGAAGACGTACACCATGGCCAGGTTGGCCAGAATGAGGGCTACGGAATGTGAAATCCATGCCGCTGCAGAGCTGCCTGAATTGCCTTTTGGCTTGAATGTGACTTCCAGTGTCTTAGAACCTTCCCCTGTGAACATAAGCACCCGCACTGCCTCTGCCATGTTGGCCTTCACGGTGACAGGAAACATCTCTAGAATTTAAGATTAAAATTTAGTTAAATGGAAAAGAATAATTTGTCGTGATAAGCATAAAGGATACTGAAATTGGCGAAGGCAAAATGCAGAAACACCGCAAATCATTTTACCGTTTGAAATAGTTAAGCAGTTTTCTGCTTTCTCTGCTGGTTTCGTTGGACATGGCTTATTGACCTTAACGACCGCATCACCGGTCGTCGATACAAGTTGCATTTCCTAAAAGGAACTAAAACTTTATGTCAATGCAGTGGTCGTAACAATAAGAGAAAATGAATTCGTCGCGAGAACAAATCCACAAATGTAGAAGCTCTGCAAACCGTTGATCAATTGCAATTGTTAGGGTAAAGAGAAAATGGCTGGCTTACAGTTGGGATGAATGACAGAGGGAAATTCTTTTTTTCGATTGTGGTTCCTGCGGCTGCACCTTGCTTGACTGAGGTCTCGTTCTTTTCCACCAACACGCCTTCTTTAATTTCGTAGGTCACCTTAGCTTCTGCGCCCACCATAAACTTGACTTGATTGTATTTGCTCTTGTCATCGATGATGAAGTGCACTTCGCACGATTCTAAAGTGGAAAAATAACATTAAGACCCTTGTCTGACATTAAAGAGTATTCAGTAGATGTTTCAGTGTCTACTTAAGATCAATATTTCGAAGAAGGTATTCGCTGACACTGGTGGTACTATACTTACCGCTTTGGGTATAGCACTCCTTAGCAGTATTCTTTCCTATATATTGTTTCGAACAATCATCGAAGGTATCGTTATCGAGTTTGGCCGACTGTAGCGTAAGTGCTTTAAGTCAACAGGATTTGCCTACTGTGATTTTGAATCCGGCCTCAAACGTTTCTTCAAACATTTTGTTTGGCTCCACATTGAATGAAAGAGAATCGGCCCG